CTGCATCTGCTCCTTTTACAACTAGTAAACTACATATTAAACAGAAAAAAAATCAGTGATGTCATTTTTCTTACAATCAATGTCCATGAAAGAAGTTTTCATGAAATGATGTTATTACATGAGACCAATCTTTAAAAAAACTCTATAAAAGTGTTAAAGGCAAAAAATATCACTTTGAGGACTAAGGTGCACCTGATCCAACCCATGAGATTTTCATTTGCTTCATATGCATGCTAAAGCTAGACATCTAATAAGACCAAAAGAGAGCCGATTTCTTTCAATCAGTGTTGTCAAAGAATATCGAAATATACTTTGAATAGACTGAATATACTTTGAATATAATATTGGATAGGTTGTCTACAACTCAACAGGACTTAACAACATCAACAGCAACAATAATGAGAGAGCTCAGTTAGCCTAGTGGACAGAAAGTGATGCTACCAAGCCAAAGGTGGGTGACTTTAATCTACGACCCTCAGGCCTGGTTTTTAATTGTTTTTTTGTCAAACATTCTTCTAGGTTGTATAGCATTGGCCTGTCCATTTGCTGTACAGAGGTAACTTGTGGTTGCTGTGATGCTGAACACTGTGACACTGATGTGTCAAACATGATAATGGTTACCCGTGGTGGACAGTATTTGGTGGAGCTCCTCAATTAAAACAAACTTGGAAGCAGGAGTGGCATCCACTTGCAAAATAGCTTGCTTCCGGAAACCCTATGAACCTGGAGAAAGGATGAAAGTTATACATGTGTTCAGGTCTTTTGTTCATAGGGTCGCTATGAGTCACCTACGACTTGACAGCACTTAACAACAACAACAACAACAACCAGGGGAAGAATCCTTCTTGGAAAAAGTATCATTGGAGTGCTCTTTAAAAGGGAAGATGGCAAGACTTTGTCTCACATATGTTTGATCATGTTATCAGGAGGGATCAGTCCTTGAAGAAGGAATGATGTTTGGTAGAGGATCAACTTGAAAGAGGAAGCCCTTCAGTGATAGGAATTAACAGAGTAGCCACAAGAATGGGCTTGAAGACTGAGCAACTGAGCAATGTTTCATTCTGTTGTACATGAGGTCATCATGAGTCATAACTAACTCAACACCAAACAGCTATTTGTGTGTGTATGTGTGTGCATGTTAGAGAGAGAGAAAGAGTACGAGAACACCGTAGTGATGTATACTGGGCTGGTAAATAAATAATGATTTGAATCCACCAGCTGTTCTATAGGAGAGAGTTGGGCAGTCTCTTCCATAAAGATTTATTGCCTTAGACACCTGTGAAGAGTTGCTTTGAAAATCAACTTGATGTCAGTGGGATGGACACACACACACACACGCACACACACACCCCTTGGAGAAAGTGCAACCAGGGTGCTCCTCAGAGGTAAGGATGGTGAGACTTCGTCTCACATATTTTGGGCATGCTGTTAGAAAGGAGCTAGTCCATGGAAAGGGATGTCCTGCTTGGAAGGGTGGAATATTAGCCAAAGAGAGGAAAACTTTCAATGAAACGGATTGACACAGTGACTGTAACAATTGGCTCGCATATATTAGAGATGATAAGGATGGCACAGGATAGGGTAAAGTTCAGATTTGTTGTTCACAGGATTGCTGTGAGTCATTCTTGACTCTATGGCACCTAACAATGACATAAATATAGCAAGTATTTTTGTTTTCTTCCCTCATCCTTTTCCAAGGACTGGTCACTCCTGATAATATTCCTTAAGTATGTGACATGAAGATTCATCATCCTTACTTCTAAGGAGCATTTTGATTGCTAGGGAAAAAAAATCCAGAATATACATGAGAACATAGATCTAGGGCAAAACTGACAGTTTAATTGGAAGAGACAGACACAGGGGTACAGACAAAATGAGAATTTACTGATAAGCAAGCAATGATACCCAGATCCTCAGATCTAGAATGAGAAGAGGGATGGTGGGTTCTAGGTGAAAGAAATAGAATGAACAAGTGCTGATGGACTCTTCAGCTAGCAGTCAGTCCAACCTATGCTTCCTGCTGCTCTTGCTGTCTGATCCCCATGATATTCTAGGACTCCTAAACTCCACCTACCTTATCTTGACACCAAGCAAGTGTCTCCTTTGACAAGGAAAATATGACATTTGAGTCCTAGACAGAGTCAGCCAGCTCAAGGTCTGGCCTGTTTGTTTCAAATTTGGCACTAGATCATCTACAGCTTATTTTTGGGGTGGCAAACATGAGAGAAACAGGGACTATGTATACAGAGAACATGGATCTCAGTAAAAACCTGTAGAGAAGTGTAAATAATTTCGACAATATTTGAGATTTATAAAGGCCCCTAATAAGTCTACACCTTTCTTAGTCAACATAGAAAGATAACTGTACATGCCTCTAATCCTTACCTGAAACTTTTGGGGACAGAGATGTGTTTAAGAATTGACCAGATTTCAAAAATGCGATAGAGTGTATATATTATATATTATGAAATACTTTAGTGGGATTCTGACCAGTGCCTTGTAATCAAACACATCAATATTTCTGCAGCTAAGTTATGAATAATCACTCTAAGTGAGACTAACTAAAGACTATAAGTAAGATTATGATGGTTAAAGTAAGGTTTTGGGTCAACTTTGTTATTTACTCAGATATTTTTCATTTTGAGATTGTAGCTAAGAGATGTGTGTTTATAATTCTTAAGTGTTGAGAGTGAAGTACAGGTAAAGCTTGCTGAATATATCATGTGCTAAGTAAGTATACACTCTCAGTTCAGAAAAATACACATGTCCAAGGTGGTGGTATTAGTTTAGAAGGAAAAAAGCTGTTACAGTGAACAGTGTCCAGATTGAAAATTAGCTGCCTTAAGGGAGTTACGTCCAATCAGAAGGGGGAGAGACGCACTGAAGGAGAGTGACTTAGTGTCAGGAGAGTGACTTACAGTGTTGGGAGGGTGAGGGGACACGCTGTTTACGAACATTGCCTGCATATCCATGCATCGAAGGGGAAGAGTAGAAAGTGATGTGCAGGTGTGTTTGTGTGGCACAGTGTCGCCTTATATAACATATCTTTATATTATGATAATATTGTAATAAACATTTTACTACACGTGTGTTTGTTTACATCTCTCTTAGGATTCATTTAGGGGATCACCAGAAGATGTGTATGTATATCTTTAAAAATCTGTGACATACAATACGACTAAAATTTATCCTACTTATTTAAAAACATTATGAACTTCAGTTTTTTGTTTTTAATGTAGCCTTGAGGATGACTGAGCCCAAACTTCAATTGGTTTGAGAGAAACTATAAATTTACTCCTTACCTTCCGTGTGATGACAGCTGTAGAAATTGCTGGGAAGTCCTGGAATATCTTCAGTTCCTTGTTAATGAGCACCTGGTGAGATCCCAGGTGACTCTGGAGATAGCATCACTTGCTCTTTCAGATCTGCAGCCTCCTCTTCTCTGTGATAATATTATCCTTGGTCCAGCCATCTGGACTGAGAAGACTGGGTTTCTCCTGGCTCCGGGTCTTCACAGATAACCCAAGCCTGTTGACATGATCCTAGAAGAGTGTGAGTTTACCCGTGTAGCCTATAGCATTCTTTGCCCTCATTACAATCTGAGATTAGACTCATTCTCAACTTCAGACTGATGAAGGGTATTTTGTTATGTAAAGTCCTTTCCAGTCTGGAGTCTTAACTGAAAATGAATTCCCTCTTGATCAGCACCGTGACACTTTCTGTTTAATATCTGTAAATAATCTCGGAGCAGCAGCAGCAATGTGAAATATTTTATTATCATGTCCCTAAGATCATGTGATTCTAGTGAATCATTTGACCAGGGCAAATGAGCATTTTGATGGAGATTTTATCTGGGGATTGTACATTCTTGGCTGAAGCTACATTAAAGGGAAGACTGACAAAAGGTTATAGTGACTTTAGATCTTTGGCAAGAAAAAGATTCTTTAGAATATCAGTTTCTTTCTTTAAGACCTATAATTCCTGGAGTCATGGATCCAGGGAGGGAAGTTCTAATTGTTTTTGTTGGGACTTTAGAAAGCAGGGGATTAGTTATTACGTGTGAGACTTAAATGATTCTGAACTGGGAATGTCTCAGACGAGTGTCATGGCCAAATGGGGACCCTAGGGCACATTGTCTAGATTGTCAGATGGTAGGGAAGCCTGTATACTCCTTCCCCAGGGGTCAAGAGGTAAACAGAATCCAGTTTTAGGACTAGAAGGCTGTGATTCCAGACAAATCCCCAGGCACCTGCCTCTAGAGAGTGCCACTCTTCCCTGACTTCCAGGTTTGGGATCTATAGAGGAGCTTTTGTGTGGGAATGTAGGAAATTTTAGGTTAAAACAGTAGTGAGGGAGGAAGTGTTAAGTTAAACCTTGAGTACTATGAGCCCATGCTAGTTCCTTGATTTTCTTATTTTCTGTGTATGGTAATATGTGCCCCCTCCACCTAAGCATGGCAGATGTTAGGCCAAGGTGTCTGGATATTGTGGTACACATAAAGATTTCACAGCATAAAATGACTGAGTGGTTATCATAGTCATATACAGATAGTGGGGATAAAGATGACATAATTCACAGCCACAGGTCTCAGTTTCTTCTCATAACTACCCTTCACCTCCACTGGTAGGCACCATTGTTTCAGCTGTATCTTATTTATCTAGTCTTGCTATAACAGAAATACCACAAATAGGTAACTTTAACAAAGCAATTTATTGTCTCACAGGTTAAGAGGCCAGAAGTCTGAATTCACGGTGCCACCTCTAGGGGAAAACGTTTTCTTTCAGTTTGCTCTGGAGGAAAGTCTTGTCTCTTCTGAACGTCTGCTCCTGGGCAGTCTTCGGATTGTTTGGCATCTCTCTTTATCTCTCCTCTGCTTAGTCATTTAATCTTGTATTTCAAAAGAGATTGACTCGAAAGAGATCTTACACTAATTTTGCATCATTAACATAGCAAAGACAACCCGTTCTCAAATGAGATATAACACGTATATAATATGCCCATTATAACTTGTGTTTTCTGGATGTGAAGATTTCTAGGAGCCTGTCCCTGATCTGTTTGGTGCGGATCCCGTAGATGAGTGGGTTAAGGGAAGGTGGAAGTAGCAAGTAGATGTTGGAGAGAAGGATGTGTACAGACTTTGGGACCGAGTGACGACCAAAACGGTGTGTGAGGTAGGAGAAGAGACCAGGCACATAGAAAGCCAGAATAACACAGATGTGGGAACTACATGTACCAAAGGCCTTGGCACGGGCCTCCCGGGTAGGCAGTCGCAGCACGGCATGGGCAATGAGTGCATAGGAGCCAGTGATACCCAGAATATCCAAACCTGACACAGCCAGTGACAGTGCCAGCCCATACAAGTTGTTTGCCCGTGTGTTACCCACCACCAGCTCTACCACTGCCATGTGGGCACAGTAGGCATGGCGTATAGTCTTGGATCGGAAGTGCCCAAATCGTGCCACCAGTAGAGGGAAAGGTACAACAATAACCACAGCTTTCAGTACCAGTGCCAGGGCTACATAGCCCACACGGGTTTTGGTGACCAGTATGGGATAGTGCAGTGGACGCCCTACTGCCACAGCACGATCACAGGCCATTGCCAACAGTACGCCAGATTCCATGGCAGTCAGTGCATGTACAAAGAACATCTGGGCCAAGCAGGCAGCGTATGGTATAGGTCGGGGCCCAAGACACAATACAGCCAGCAGACCTGGGGCTATCGATGTGGCTAAACCCACGTCTGTGGCTGCGAGCATAGACAGGAGTAGGAACATGGGCTGGTGTAGGCTGGCGTCTATCCGTACCACTGCTAGCAATGCCCCATTGCCCAGCAGAGCCAGCAGATACATGGGTCCAAAGATCAATGTCAGCCAGCCCTGCGCACTCCCAAGCCCTGGAATGCCAGTCAGTAAGAAGAAAGTTGGGCGTGGGAAGGTGGAATTGGGCTGTGTAACTTCTGCCATTCTGTGTGGAACAGGAAGTTTTAGGGCTTATGGCAGAATGAGTCTTTACAGAAAGGACAAGGGAGAACACTTAGGGGTGCCACAGTGGCACAGACCAGTCCCTGGAGTGTGTGCAGAGGTATCTCAGAGCTACGATTACAGAGTCCAGAGTACAGACTTTGGGACAGAGTGACAAGGTTTAGAGTAGATAAGCAAGATCACAAGCTTGAGATAATCCTCTGCACCTGAATGAGAGCCCATAGATATTGTAGGAGAGAAATGTAAAGATGGTGGTAGTGAGGAAAGGGGACGGTGGTGACTGCTTCAAGGCAGAGCCCTCCAGGTGTATGCTTCTCAAGGTTCAAATAGAGTTAAGTCTCTGTAGATGGAGAGAAAGTCAGCATCTAAGGATAAGACCCCAGGTGGTTCTGTCCCTGACTATGCATCCTTCTTTGGGCCTCAGCATCCTCAGCTTTAACAGAGGTAGAACACATTATCTTAAGCTTCACCCAACTCTGACATTCTGGGCACCAACCCTTCAAGGGTTGGAAGGAAGAAGCCCATTAGAGAGAAAGGGAGAAACAGAAGGGAGAAGTCTATAGCATCCTGGAAGTCTGGTCCACCAGGAGAAAACCTGGTGGAGGTTTGGGGAGTGCTCACGTTTTTCTGAACTTGAAGTCGTGGTCTTGAATAACAGCTGGCAAGTTGCAGGGAAGGCTGGGAAGCAATGGAGAAAGAGATAGATGGCATCAAATAAAGGAACTTCCCTTCTCCGGCTCCTTCCTTCTTCATGATTTAGAAGGGGTTTCACTAAAATAGTTTCATCTCAGGAATGCCAGGAGCAGCTGTGACAGAAATGACACTCAACCCAGAGTAGCAGCCATATGAAGAAGTTGTCTCTGAAGAGGCAGAACAATCAACTCCCTTCAGAATCTGGCTCACAGTAAGAACCTAATAAGGGTTAAACGGATCCATGAATAAGGAAGAAAACACTGCAGGAGGCTTGGCTGGGGACTGATCTCAGCCCTGGGGGTTGACAGCTTCTTTTCTTGACCAGTGCCTGGGGAGCCCTTTATGTGGCCCTTCTGCCTTCTTCCCTCAGGGCCCTTCCCCTTCCCACTTGTGTCACATTAACTCTTCCCTGCTCTATCTTCTCTACTCAGTGCTAATAGGCTCAGTAACTCAGGAAGTGTTAGGGAGGTACACCTCGAAATCACAAAAAAATTATTATTTTATCTTTACTAGCATGGTTAAGTTAAAAAAAAGAAAAAGGAACACAAGAAAATTTGCCAAGGATATAGACATATTGGAGTAAGGAGGTAGAGTTGAGGGTAGACAAGAAAGGTGGTTAATGGGAGTGAAAAGAGCTAGTAAAGAGGGAGCTCCGGTGGCATAATGGTAAGAAATTCCACTGCAATCCTGAAGGAACGTGATTCGAATCCACCACCTGCTCCGTGGGAGAAGAATGGGAAATCTATTCCCAAGTGATTAACTGCCCCTGAAAGCTCACTGGAGGGTCAACTATAGGTTGGTTTTGACTCGATGGTACTCAACAACCACAAAAACCAATATCCTCTGGATAGTTTTTGCTGAATCCCCGAAGTCTTCGAAGTCTTCGAGAGAAGCCCTTGTTTTATTATTTAATATCATCTGTCCTACCCTACAATCATTATCTGTTTGTCTTGCTCTGACTCCTAGAGTGAATGAATCACAGGCATTGTTCCTTATTAACCACAATATTGCCTGCTTATCACAGTGCCTGGTATGCAAGTCGCAAGTCGTTTGAGGAAATACTGTTTTTAATTATTGACTCAAACGGATTCTGCTAAAAGAAGCTTCCATTATTTTAGAGCCTTAGGTATCCATGGAGATGAGGAAGAGTTACCCACTATCAATTAAAAGCTGATAATGAGACAGACACACTCTAAAAATCACCACACTATACAAAGTCAATTAAAAACCCTGTAAGTCTTATGGTAAAAACAGAGTTAAGAGTCCTATACTAAACAATGCCATCAGTGCATCATTAGCCAGTATCCAGCCCAAGCCACTGCCATCCAACGTGGTCAGACTCCTAGCAACCCTCCCTTAGGTGGCTGAGGCTCTTTACAGGAGAACACTCCCATCTTTCTCATTCAGAGTAGCTGGTAGGTTTGAGCTGCTGACTTTTCTGATAACAGCCCAACATATTATGAAGTATGCCGCCAGGGCTTCTTATTTGTAGTTAGGGAGGTATACATCTAAATCACAATAAGATATTACCTTCCCTTTACTAGTATGATTAAGTTTTGGGTTTTTTTTTGGTTGTTTTTTTGTTTTTGTTTTTGTTTTTTTAAAGGAAAACAAAAGTTGCCAAGGATATAGACATATTGGAACTCTTATCCATTTTGGTTGTTGTTATGTGCTGTTGAGTCACATGTGACCCATAGTGACACTATGTACAGAAGCTCTGTCCTGAGCCAGTCTCACTGACTCCAACACACCTACCCCCACTGCCCCAGTTACGTATCAATCCATCTCATCCGGGGTCTTTCTGTCCTGTGCTGTTCCTCCACCCTTCCGAGCTTTATGTCCTTCTCCAAGGACTAGTCTTTCTTGGCTACATGGTCAAAGTATGTGTAACGGAGCTTCAGGATCCTAGCCTCCAAGGAGAAACTTGGTTTCACTCTCTCCAAGACAGACCTATTTGTTTTCTTGGCAGTCCACGGTATGTTCAAGATTCTTTTCCACACCACAATTTGAAGGCATTGATTCTTCTTCTGTCATCCTTAGTCATTGTTCAGTTCTCTGATGCATAGCAAGTAATTGCAAAGATCATGGCCTGGATTAGGTACACCTTAGTGTCTAGACTGATATCGTTGCTTTTCAGTACTCTGGAGAGGACCCTGACAGCAGATTTTCCCAATGTAATTCGTCTTTTTATTTCCTGATTGCTTATTCCAAGGCTGTTAGTTGTGAAGTTGAGCAAGCTGTAATTAACAACTTCAATCTCTTCTCCATCTATCATGGTGCTGCCAATTGGCCTAGTGGTGAGAATCTTTGTCTTCTTGACGTTGAACTTCAATCCAGGTTGAAGATTATGGTCCGTGACATTCTGCAGCAAGTACTTCAGGTCCTCCTCAGTTTTAGCAAGCAGGGTTGTGTCATCTGCATAAGTTGTTGATGAGTCTTCCCCCAATCCTGATGCCACAATACTCCTCATAAAGCCCTGCTTTCTGAATGATCAGTTCTACATACAGATTGATAAGGTATGGAGACAGAATGCATACCTGACACACTCCTTTCCTGACTTTGAACCATGCAGTGTTTCCCCTGTTCTGTGGACTGCTTCCTTGTCCAAGTATAGGCTTCATTTAAGCACAATCAAGTGTTCTGGGATTCCCATTTTTCTCAAGGTTAGCCACAATTTGTTGTGATCCACACAGTCAAATGCCTTTGCGTAGTCAAAGAAACACAGATAGATATTCCTCTGGTACTCTCTACTTTCAGCCAAAAATGCAAACTGTTACAGTCATTGCAGAAAAGTTTAGAGGGTTTTCAAAAAGTTAAGCAAAGAGTTGTGAGATAATCCAGCAATTCCACTCCTAGATATGTACCCAAGGACTTGAAAGCACAGACACAAACAGACACATATACACTAATATTCACTGTAGCATGATAGTCAAAAGATGCTGATAACTTTAATGTCCATCAAATGTATAAACCAACTAACTGGTGGTGCATTTCAAATGGGAATACTATGCAGCTAGTAAATGAAGCTAAGTCTTTATATAGATGCTCCAAGATGGTTGGAGCTTGAAGGTACTATGCTGTATCATCAGATGAGGACAAATACTGTATTTTTCTACTCATCTGAAGTATATTCATTGCTATTGTGTCTGAACTGATTGATAGCTGACCGCTCCAGTGGGTTTTTGGGAGGATATATTCTCCCTTGGAGCCACTGGTGGATTAGAACTGCGAGAGAGGGTTAGTCTTTGGGTTAGCAATGCAATTTTCTATTGACTATGCCACCAGATCTACCTGATTTGAATATTGAGAATAGTCAGAACATATTGAGTATGTTGTTGTTGTTGTTATGTGCCTTTGAGTTGCCTGCGACTCATAGTGACCCGATGTTCCACTCCCCTAAATGCTGTTCTATCCTGTGCCAATCTTATTGTCTCTGATACACCTGCCCCCATTACCCCAGTCCCTGGAATCTCATATAGGATTTTCCTTTCCTGCGCTGTCCCACACCCTCCCAGGCATGATGTCCTTCTCCAAGGACTGATCCTGCCTTGCAACATGTCCAAAGTATGTCAGACGAAGCCTCAGAATCCTTGCCTCCAAGGAGCAGCCTGGCTTCACCTTCTCAAGGATGAACTTGTTTGTTCTCCTAGCAGTCCATGGTTTATTCAATACTCTTCTCCAGTACCACAGCTCAAAGACATCAACTCTCTATCATCCCTAGTCATTGTTCAGCTCTCTGATGCATAGCATGTAATTGCGAAGACCATAGCTAGATCAGGTGCACCTTAGTCTTTAAACTGACATCATTGCTCTTCAGTACTCTGGAGCGGTCCCTGACAGCAGATTTTCTCAATGCAACTTGCCTTTTGATTTCTTGGCTGCTGGTACCAAGAGTGTTGATTGTGGAGACAGAAGCTGTTAACAATCTCAATCTCTTTACCATCTATCATGGTGCTGCCAATTGGCCCAGTGGTGAGAATCTTTGTTTTCTTGATGTTGACCTTCAATCCATATATCAGGCTGCAGTCCTTGACTCCCAAGCTTGACTGAAGCAAGCGTTTCAAGTCTTCCTCAGTTTCAGCAAGCAGGGTTGTGTCATCTACATAATGCAGATTGTTGATGACTCTTCCTCCAATCCTGATGCCACATTTCTCCTCATAGAGCCCAGCCTCCCAGATAATCTGCATGTTGTTGTTGTTGTTATGTGCCGTCGAGTCGCTTGCGACTCATAGCGACCTTATGTACAACAGCCCTAAACTCCGCTCTGTCCTGTGCCAATCGCACTAGATCTT